TAATAATCCGAGCAGTTCCAATAGGGTCTTCGCACCCTTTTGGGTGCTCGGACCCTAATAATCACAAGGGTTTCAAAAGGGTCCTTGCACTGTTAGTGCTCGGACCCTAATAAAGAAATCCATGATTGACATTTTTTCACTTTGTCTCCAGGTGCTGGTGATCTCACTGGTGACCCCTTCGGTTACGTCACTGGCGTCTTGGCTGTAATCATCCACGCCTCCTACCTGGTTCTGATCCAGAAAACCAGTCTGGACAGCGAGTACGGGCCGCTCACTGCGCAGTATGCCATCGCCATCATGGCCACACCGGTATGGACTCTCCCTTTTGTCTTTGCGGTGTTCGTTTACCTCCCACTACTACCTCTTCTGCTGTCCTTTGTTTATTATCTGTGGTTATTCTCTCATTGTCTGTTCTGGTCATCTTCTGTTGTCAGGTGCTGCTGGTGTGCTCCGTCATCTCCATGGACGCAGTCAACATGTGGTCGTACGAGGGCTGGAATGACCCTCACATCACCGTCATCTTCACCTTCTGCATCTTCATCGGCTGCGCCATGAACTTCACCACGCTGCACTGCACCTACATCAACTCAGCCGTCACCACCAGCTTCGTCGGCGTGGTCAAGAGCATCGCCACCATCACCGTCGGCATGCTGGCGTTCAGCGATGTCGCGCCAACCGGGCTGTTCATCGGCGGCGTGGTGGTGAACACCGTCGGCTCCATCACCTACTGTGTGGTGAAATACTTTGAGACAAAGAAGAAGAGCTTGTACGAGGATCTCGAGGAGGCGGGGAAGGATGCCACGCTGCCCGGGGAGCCTTACCAAGAGAAGCCACCGCTGAACGGCAGCGGGCCTGCCGACGGATTTGATCCGGGACAATCTGAGGTAGAAGGAGTGTTGAGCAGTGACGGGAAGGCGGAGGCTCCGACGGCACATTTGACTAACGGAGAGGTGTGGGCGGGAGACGGTGGGCAAACAGGCGGAGACGGAGGCGCGAATTCTCGTGTCATGACGGAACAAGAGGTGCTGGAGATGCAGCGGGAGCACCTCCACAAGGAGAGCACCACCCCTGGTCAGTCGATCAGTGACAGCTATGTCGGGGTGTGGAGGTCCATCAGGCACCTGCAGTTCATGAAGAAAGAACCTTTGATCGATAACATGGAGCAGCAGAGTCCGTAGGGCGGGACAGAGACCTCGACAGACTCTAGAGAAGAACACAGGAAATAAAGTCTGCTGAAGAAACCAGCAGAGAAGAAAATGACAGACTGAACCTCCACTGTTTGTCCACCGGGAACCTCTTTTATTAGCTTCAGCAGTGCTTAACAAATGCTTGTTGGTCATGCTGTTGCTGTGATACCTCAATGAAAGCTTTTGTGCTAAAAGCTCAATATCATCGTCCAGGACTGAAGAACCGGCAGTAAAAAGCAAGAAGCAGAAAGTCATTTCCTTTGTTTATGATGAGAGAGAAAAGAGGTTCCCGGTGGAGAGAAGTGGATGAAGAGTTTTGGGAGAAGCTGCCTGTCAGTGATTAATTCTGCCTCTCGTCTCCTTCAGCTCTGCGGCGTGCAGCGGGGACCAGGCAGGCCACGGCGAGCATGATTCGGTTTGCGTCCCCGCTGATTAGCCAGCTAGCCAAACTAAAGCAGGTCTTGTAGAAAAAGAGCGCATCTTGTGCAAACTCAAATATCATCTCCAATCAGGGAAGAGCTGAAGACACCTGAACGTTTGTGTTTTGTGTTTTACCACCTGGGTGGATTCTAACTGGCTGTGGGTGTGCAAGTAACTAGTTGATGGCTGTGTTCACTCTGGGTTTGTATGTTTGACTCTCTAAACGAGTTCTGTGTTTCTGTGTCAGCCCCGTTCTGATGGAAAAAGAATAATAATAATGCGGCATCACGTTGGACTTCAGTGTCATTTTCTGCTCAAACATCTGTGAGGTCATTGAACTTTTCCATCCAACACTGCAGTGAGTGGTGGAATGCAACCAAGCACGTTTACTCAACAACTGATGAAACTGAGGTACAGATTTATGACATTTTGAGCTTCTACTCCACAACAATTCAGAGGATCTTTTTTTTTTTTAACTGAACTAAATTTATTTGGCAGCTTTAGTTACTTTACCAATCATTTTATTGCATTACATGGAGCGTTTACGAAACATATGTTGTACCCAACAGTATGTAATGTACCAAACCAATTAATTTAACTGACAGAAAATTAACTAGCAACCATTTTAATAACTGTTTAAGTAATTTTTCAGCTTTTCAGATGTGAGTATTTCCTGTCCTTTAAGGTTTTTTAAACCATGCTTACCGCTTTTAATGGTTTTTAGGTTTGGAATGCTGGCGGGACAAAAACAAGGATCGTGAAGATTGCGCCATTTTATTACAGGTCAATTTACACTTTATTAAGGACAAAGCTCATGGGGGTCAAATAACAATACAACAAAATACATAGAAAAAAAACTTCAAAACAGTTCCCTGATTATACTCACATCCTCTTACTTAGTAATTGTAAAGTGCAGCATCACTCAAAATAGTATCTGAATACTATCTTTAACTCCCGCCAGCTATTACGCTAACAGTCGTATAGTTGGTGAGATTACCTGATAACATCTCAGCCAGCCTGGAGCATGCTAGCTAGCCACAGTACAGCTGTGTAGTCTGTTTGATGTACATTTTGTCATTTCACCAAGTCTTTGAGGGCTTACAAAAACCTTCCCCATGTTTCTGTGTGCGGTCCAGAATTTGTGTCGACTACGCTGCCACGTCATTAGTGCACGTTTGGCGCTAGTGTGCATGCACAGATTACGTAGATATGACCGATTGCGCATGTATGCAACAGGGTTTTGCACAGTTAAATGTTTCACTATTTTTCTACTCTGCTTGGTAGACTCTGTTGCATACTTAGCACTAGGTTGTAGCTACGTATTTCGAACAAAACCCCATTGCCCCTGTACCATAGTCGCCAGTGTGCTGGTTGCGCAAACTGAAAATTTTCGTCTGCCCGTGGACGTCCATGGAAGGATCTCTGGCAAACTTGGGGATATGATGAAAATTATGTCAAGCAGAACCTAACCCGCGGAAAGTTTAACGCAGTCCTTTCAGCAAGTGCACGTCCAAGTGCGCATCTGAACGGGGAGTATAGTAAAGGCAAAAGTCACAAAGCTAGCTAACCTACTGATGACGCTGAGTAAGCTAGTTAGCTTGGCTGATAACGGGAATAATTTAACTTTGCTTATTTAAGAGACTTATTTGTACCATGTATGAACCAGAAGAGCTAAATGGCAATTAAACACAGCTAACAAGCGACAGCGGGCCACATGGTGAACTAATACAGCCTGTCTGGAGCATACTAGCATGTCACATAAACTAGCTAACGTACAGTCTGTAAGCCACAATAGCAAAGTAGTCTCCTAATGATGGGGAAAAATCTGGTTAGCTTGTTTGCTAACGTTAACATGATTTTTTATGGTTTTGAAGCCATGCCTTAACTGTGCTGTAGGTTGTATACTGGCAGATATGCTAGCCAGCTTGGAGCATGTGACATAACACAATACTAACGAAGGCAAAAAAAGCTAGTTAGCTTGTTTGCAAAAATTAATAATTGAAAACTTAGACTTATTTGCACAATTTGCTCCCGACTGGTAGCTGTAAAATCATTTCTTATTCATGAAGCAGTTAATATGTCAACAAAGGAAAGGTGGATGGTAAAGTTTAATGGTTCAACAGAGATAATGTCGTGTTATAGCGAATCTCGTCACAACTCTCTAAACAGATTTTAGTCCACAGCACAATGTGTGATATGTCAGACCTCCCCAAAGTTGAATTATAGAGCAAACAAGTTCAGTTTTTAATTCTAATACAAATTTCTGCCACTTTAATTCGTGTGAATCGGCCTTTAGAGTACAAATCACATTCGGATGTCAGTGAAAAATATCACAACAGCAACACGTCTTGATTACTCTGACTGCCCACAGCTCTCACTGTAAACAGTTATTGCTATTTTTACCGTCAGTAGAAAATCGTTGCTAATAATTCCTGCCCACAGCGAGGCCTGTGGGAGGCATCCAGCACAAAGCAGTGAGTGGTTGCTTCCTTCATATGTCTTTGAATCCTTTAAAGCAACACCTTGCTGTGGATTATACCTTTCTTATTGCTTTACTAATTCCGTATTTTTAATAAGATTCAGATTTAATGCCTCTAACAGTGATGGAGATGACAGACAGCTTTAGAAAAGGTATGAGTAGGTGGTAGAAGGTCAGGTGGCTTCAGGATCGACTGTTGTTGATCCAGATTGATTGGATGTTGGAGACAAGCGTTTCCAGAAATAAGTTCATGTTATCTGCTTTAAAGGTGCATCGGCCTTAACAACTGGTAAATGATTTTGAGATCTACACTTATTTGCTTAGCTCTGGTTAATAAGCAACTTGTTCCACATGTAACGACGTCGTAGATGTCCCCACACCACAAGAGGCTGCAGAAACAAGCTAATTAAAAAGGGTTAATTATGTTGTAGCAACTAAAACAATAAGCTGCAGCAGAACGCACATTTGAGGAAATGTCAGCACTTATTTACTTTAACTAAGGGACACCACACATGCTTGTGTAACTATGTCATTAGCCTAGCTTAGCATAAAGACTGGTAGCAGGGAGAAACAACTAGCATAGCATTTCCTTCTCAAAATTCAATGTTAAAACAGAAAGGTTTATGTGAGTACACAAGCTGGAACTATGTCTTCTCCAGTGACCTTACAGTGACAAAAGGAGTAGATAAAGTCACTAAAGCCACAAATACAAGTTTGGTCCAATCTGCACTAAAAGGACCCAGAACCCAGCGTTCTGAGTTACACCAGGTCACTGCTGTCTGGCTGTCGAGGCTCTCTGTCCACCTCCAGGCGACAGTTTCTAATGAAATCAGTCAAAATCAGCGTCTCTGAGGGACATGTGTGGGCCGGTGAGCCGACCAAACGTCTAAAAGAATTATTCACATCAGACAGTTGGAGTCAAGACTCCTCCACATGTGGGCTGAACCGTCATGGACAGACGTTTTAAATTAGGCCTCGGTGCTAATGACCACATCTGTTCCAATGAACTGAATGGCAGACGCCAAACTTCTGATGATCTTACATCATCTTCATAGCGGCCATTTCATGAAAGTGACAGCTGATGAAAAATATGGACAAACAACATTGTTTAAAGGAAGCATTCAACATTTTGGGAATTATTTTCTTCAATATCAATCTCATGTCTCAAGTACAAAACTAGAGTCAGGAGGTGATTAGCTTAGCTTAGCATAAAGACAAGAAGCTATAGGAGAAAGCTAGCCTACCTCCGTCCATTTAAAGATGAAAAATAAACTCACCAACTCCTGTAAAGCTTCCTAACATGTTGTCTCTGTGGTTTTTAGAGGAAGTTATGTAATTCCAAGAAATAGTTCCAGCATGTAATTGCACATAAAACTACAACTTCTCATTTTACATAACTGTTTCGGCCATAAAATTAAATTTCAGAAAACTAAAGAAATTCCATTATAATTTCCTTGAACCCTTCAGATGTTTCGTGTGGACCCACAGAGAACCAGAAACTCTTAAGATGTTCTACTTTCTATCCTCTAAATAAACAGAAAGAAACAGCAAATCCTCACAAACAAGATGCTAGAACCAGAGAAACTGAACAATTTTGCTTAAAAACAAACACATAATCAGTTTACAACCTGAAGAATCTACTAAATTTTCAGCTTTAAACGAGATTTGTTAATTTTTTTTTTTCCCCCTAAATCCAGAGTAATGAAACTTTCATGAGTCCACACTTGTGATATTCAGGCTTTTTTTTTCTTTTTTTTTTAAATAACCTTTTAAAAAGCTCCTGAAGCCTCAGAAAACCATACGAAAAACTTTCATTTAATATGATGAGAGGTTCCCTGAAGAAGATTACCAGATAACAGAGAAACAAATGAGACACTATGTTCCTGGTAAAGATCAAAAGATTAGCTGCCATTATCTAGTGTGGGGAATGAATTGAAGGAATGCAAAAAGACTTCTGCTTGTAGTAAAAATACTTGCATATGAGGAAACATCATCGTCTCTTCCTACAATTTTCTGACTGTTGTGGACATAATTTGCTGGTTTGATGGCCACAGTTTCCTCTAAGACCCAGGAAGCAAACACTGAGTGTCATTTAAAGGCAACCTGTGGAGTTTCCTTTTAAACAAATTAAAGTTAGACATAATTTGATGCAAGAGCAGAAGAGCCAAAGCTGCCAAATAAGAAACCCATAGATCCATAACATAGGTTTAAGTTATGCCAGTTACTTATGATGTGATGCGCAGCTGTATCGTCTGTCGAATCAATCCTACATCCACAAAGGTTCTACATCACACCAGTGGCTAAAGAACTATTTCCTCGCTCTAAGCTCTTTGCTCTTTGTCACTTCGAGGTGCGTTTAAGATTTGAAGATTCTCCTTGATGGTAGATTTACAGTGATTTAATCTGAGCAGAGAGAGTGTGAGAAAACACAAGTTTGGATCATCAAACACTTAAACCCTGAGTTGCTTACTAGAACACTAAACACTTTTCTTCCTTTCTGTTTCCTGCTGCATTACCACCACCTGTTGACCACTGGTAGGACTTTGTGCCATATTACCAGCATTCTTCTGTACAAGAAAAACAAAAGAGGAACCCCATTATGGACAATCGGCTCCATAACAGAAGCCAAACAGTCCACAGATTACCTTCAACAGCATCAGTGCACCATCCACATCCATGTAGTTTCTCACCTGAATCCTCCATTTAGCCGTTTTTTTGTATTTAACTCCATAAAGGGAGCATTTATCTTCTCCTCTGCAAACACAGTCTCTCTCACGATGAAAAAGCTCCGGGCTCCTTGAATTGTGTG